GTTTGATCTGCCGGGGTTTGCTCTGCTTCCGCCGGGACATCGCGGCGGCGGCGGCCGCTGCTCCCGGGGCTCCCGGTGCCCGCGCTCCGGTCCGGGGCCGCCGCGCTCCGGGCTCCCGCTCCTCCCGCGGCTCCTCCCGCCGCTGCCGCCGCTGCCACCGCCGCCGCCGCCGCCGCCGCCGGCCTGGCTCGGGGCTCCGCGGGCCGGACCCCAGGTGCTCCGGGCGCCGGGCTCCTCCGGGAGCCGCCGCGGACCCGCGTTTGGAGACGAGCGGGCGAATGAGGAGGCGGAGGGGCCGAGAGAGTGACAGCGGGAGGGGAGGGAGAGTTGGGGGGCGGGGGGGGGGGGTGATGGGGTGGAGGGGGAGGAAGAGAACGGGAATTTGCAAACGAATGGGCTGGGGGAGAGACAGAGAAGAGGGGAAGGGGGACCCGGAAAGAAGGAAGAGACGGGGGAGGGAGAGGAGAGCGCGCGGAGGGCGAGGGCGCGGGGGGGAGGAGGAGGAGGAGGAGGAGGAGGAGCGCGCTCTCCCCGCGCCCTGGGCGTGCGGGGCCGATCCTCCGCCGCCGCCGCCGCCGCCGCCGCCGCCCCGGGCCGCGCCGCTCGCGCTCTGCAGCCGCGGGAGGCGTCGGGGCGCGGGAGGCGGGAGGGAGGGGCGGCCGGGGCGGCGGGGAGGGGAGGCTAGTCCATCAGCCCAAGGAGGATTGGCTGCAGCCGAAGCCAGTCCGGGCGCACACCAGGGCCAGGCCGAGGTCGGGTGGGGTGCAGGGCAGCGCGGTGGGGGGTTGGGGGTGGAGAGGCATGGGATGGAGATGGGGGGGGGGAGGACTTGGAAGGAGGCCACCTTGTGCTGCTGACACCGCGTCAGCTCTAGGCATCCGCCAGAGCACCCCTCCTGGCAACTTCTTCCAACAGCCCCCTGCCCGCGGGTGGACACCAACTCCCCTCTCTCACTCCCAGTTTAGGCGGCCCCCGGGGGGCACAAAGACAGCTCAGTCTCCCTAAACTTTGCGCTGCCAGTGATGCCCACCCCCACCCCCTCCTTCCCTGGCCTCCACCCCGCCCTCCCAGGTTCTTGGCAGGAAGGTTAGGCCAACTGGCAAAATCCTCAGGCGAGAGCCAGCTGATCACAAATGCCAACTGTGTGTGTCTTGGGGCCAGTGACGTCCTCTCATCTGCCCGGGATCTGGGGAGACCATTTCATTGCTCTCAGGGTTCCCTGGAGACCGCCCTGGGCATGGACCATCCCCCCACTTGGCCAGCGCAGATGGGATGCTGCTTGCTGAGCGGTGTCCTTAAAACTAAGTGTTCTGTCTCCCCTGGAGCTTTCAAGTCAAATTGTAAAAATTCCAAATTTGGAGACAGGCAGATATTGTTTCTCCCAGGGAGGAAGGACCATGAGGCTAGGTGGTTAGCCCTCGGTGGGAAATGAACCGTCTTCTAATCAGATACTAACTTTTGGAGGAGGTCTGTGCAAGTTCTGAGGTCCCTCCCCAGCCAGCCAGCCAGCCAGCCCCCATGACCTTTAATCCTTTTTTAGTTTTTCTGCCACAGGAAGCAGCCCGACGACTAAATAAAAGATTTGATCTTGCCATAATTTCCCAAAGCAGGTAAGACCTAATAACTATTTCATGGTTCTTTGGCTTTTAAAGTTTTGTTTCATTCTTATTCAATTATTGTGTGTGTCGGAGGTTGGAAAACGGCAAGCCAAGGAGAAGAACAAATGTGGAAGTGATTTGCATAGTTATTATTTGGGCCAAGTTAAGCTGCATGAGGCTAGCTTAGTTTCTCTCCTAGTTTCATAGACACTGAGTATTAAGTAAATTCTCCCGGGTGAGCTGCAAGTAAGCTTCTAACGGAGTGGCAGTTTCACTAGCTGCTTTGTGTAATCAGTATTTACTAATAAACTCCACCCCAGTGAACATACACTCCCTCCGCTCCCCCCCCCCCCCCAATACCGCTGACTTTCCCCCAGGTTGTGAGATCATCCATTCTTATCTGACATCGTGCTTCCCTTTGTCTGGCTGGTGGGAGCCCCACCAAACTCTAACAGGGTCTGGGTGGGGGTCAGGAGAGAGCTTGGGCTGATTGAGCACAATGCAGGAGCCTCTTCGTGCTGTCATTTATAACCCCATCAGGACATCCTCTGGAAGGTAGAGAGAGTTGCCCTAGGAAAGGGATGGCTGAGAGAGACTCTTCACACAGAGCTGCAGCCCAGTGGTGGAGGTTGTGCCATTACCATGAGTACCCTTACCATAGGAGGTTGTGTGAATACGTGGTCCTTTGCAGTGGAAAAAGCTCTCTATTGACAAAGTCCCTCCCCTGAAGGACCAACAAATGAGAGCCATCAGGACCAAGAATAGTGGGAATGTGTGTGTTGTGGAATGAGGAAGCCAGCAGAGAACTACAGATTTTTTGCCTTCTTCATTCTCAATTCATTAAAATGAAATTGGTGTGTGCTTAGAATTGGGTGTGTTCTATAGTATGGCTCCTGAAGATCTTTTTACAGAACTGGCTGACCTTTGATATCACCCAAAAAGAATGCCCATTGGAATTAAAATATCATAACAGTTAGTGTTTCTTTTGGCATTGGAAATGGTTAAATATGCAAAGCAAGGGAGAAACAAATAAATCTCAGCTAAATATTCACTTGAAAAGCTGAAAGGAGCAAAAGTCAGGAAATTCAAGGCAAGATTGATAAAACAAACCAGACTTCGCTATTAGAAATAAACATAGTTTATTTAATTTATAAATATGCATGTTAATTACAGATGGTATGAATGAATTAAACTAGGATACTATTAGATTTTGTGCTTTCTCGTCATTTCTAATGAGAATGTTAATGTTACTTAAAGTTAATTTTTTCCTTTTCCTAGTTTAACTTACTAAGGTTATAAAATAAAAAGACAGCAAAACCTATAAGCAATTATCTCTGTCCAGATGGGTAGAGCAGCCCAAACCACAGTTACATGACTATCAAACAATGATTATGAAAACCACAATTGAGGAAAGCATTAGGGAATGATATTGCGAAACCACAGCAACAAATGTGTCTGTGATACTGAAAACCACAATTCACAACCAACACGCTGTGTATCACAAAGGACTATTTAACAAGAAATGTGAAGATGTATAAGTAACAGCACAAAATAATTTCTCACTTACATAAAAATGAGATTCATTTTCTAGACTCACTGATTTCATTTCTACATAATGGTTCTTTTGGAAAAGTTTCTGCTTTGAAAGACAAATCATTTAAATATGTTATTTTAGAAGCATAAAATATACAACTTTTAATAATATTTCCTCAAATACTAAAAAAAATGCTATGAAACCAATTGAAAATAAAGAAACATCTATTTCAGTCTGGTTATCTTCATAAAGTTCTTTAGGAGTTAAAAAGGATGTGAGTTGAAACTGTTTATGGGGAAAGATGATAATATAATTGTATATTCTTAACTAGAAAAGACATTACAATAAAATGAAATGCCTGTACCAAAACTACTTTAATATGAAAATCAAATATTTATTTACAAATGAATAAAACAGTATTGTTTGCAAGTGTATAGGGCTGCCAGGTTTAGAAAATTAAAATATAGGATGCCCAATTAAATTTGAATTTCAAATAAACAGTAATAGGTTTTTTTTAAGCATAAGATGTTTCATGCAATATTTTAGATATATACTTATCCTAAAAAAATAATTATTGCTTATCTGAAATTCAAATTTTACTGGGCATCCTGTATTTTATCTGGCAAACCTACAAGTTTAGCATTTTAACATTTTCACAAATTTATGATTGTTTATAATATTGTTTATTTTTTTAAAAAGGCAGAGAATCCCTAAAGTGGTACCTATAAACATAGATATTTTAAATTCTTGAACACATTATTTAGGGGGGGCACGCTAGAAGAAAAAAATTTCTATACAAGAATTCATTATTTGGAACAGTTTAGAATTGTGCTCTCAGTGTAAATGGATTGCATTCATGTATGTCTTCTCTTGGGTTTGTTTTTAAAACGTGTGTTGTTTTTTTTTCCTCCAAGGAATCAACAAATTGATAACACAACCTCCCAGGCCTCATCTTATTAGGCAGCAAGCTGCCTTCTTTATTATGGGAGTAAACAATATTCAAAAGCTTCAGAAAGACTTAATTTTTTGCCCTTGTATCCTCACCAGAAATTGAATACAGTTTATCTGTCTTGATTTAAGATTGTGACACTGAATTGAACAAGAATAGACCATGAAAATAATGTTTCGTATTTGTGTATCTTTATAATTTCAGCAGTTTAAAACTAAAAATCAACAAATTCATCTAAATGGCATTTTCTATGTTATAACTATGAAAAGGACTATCTATTTACTTGCAAGGGAGCCAAGGGCTTTGAAAACATTCAGTCAATCTGGATTGGAAGTTTAACTTGGGCTTTATGGGGACTGAATGCCTTAAAAGAAGTGTGTGTGTACAAAAAAATTTGCTGAGGAGCAGGTGTATTAAATTCATGAGTTTAAAAAAAAACATATGTGAAAAAAGTCTCCGAACCCGATATGGGTTATGAATTACTATTCTTTTTTTGCATAAATGTTTATGATATACTGATAATCAAAGTGTCGATGATTTAACTTTTTACTCTTTGCAATTATCCTTTATATCCAAATTACTACTCCATTGAAGAGAGTTATTGAATGAACTCAGTTGCCACCTCCTTTCCCAAAATTCTTGGTTGCTAAGTCTGTATAATACATAAGGCAACCCCAAGTATAAAGCAAATATTAAAGGAGTAACGCCTCAAATTTTAGTACACTTGTGTTGATTTTGCATGCTTAGCATCCATTCTCTTTTCTGGTAATAATGCTGTATTATCTTTTGAAGAACTACTCATCTTCACCTACTATTTGGTGATACAAGTATGGCCTTTCTGAATCCCCTAATTCCTGACTAATCAGAATATTCCAAATGTTTGGCCATGGTGATTGGCTCAATGGCCCAATAGTTTCCGGAAGTGTCCCTGATGGAACTTTTTCCTAAAACCATCCAGG